AAAAAAAAATCTAGTATATGTTAATGTATGGATTTATGATGGATATTTTACTACTTTTGTGAAATCCTTACTATTTATGTGAAATTGAATTGTGCATGTATATATGTATTGTATGATTTTTGACAAATTCCACATCCGGTAGGTCATCTGACTAACTCATGGATCTATGGAATGCTATGTATGTATGTATGTATGTATATGTACTGAGTAGGGGCGTGTAGGTTGTCCCATTTTTGGATTCAAATTCCAAAAAAATTTTTTTTCCTCTTTTTAGTTTTCTTGTGGTTTCTTCTTTAACATTACCTTTTGTTAATTTTATTATTTCATAATTATTACATTTTATCTTTTACAAATGTTCTGGCTTTCTGACGTCCGACCCCTCAACCACATGTAGAAGAGATAAAACGCTCAAGTAGGAAATATTGAATCCGTGAGCAGTAAAGCAAGAAACTGTTCACTCCCGCCTTAAGGGTTGCTGAATAAGTCTGATGAATTAGCGCACTGTCAGAATATTTCTGGTTGGGGGGAACGGAAGAAAAGACAAGACTACTTTTACTGGTGTTTTAATAAATATATTTCTTACCTTCTTCAATTAAGAATTTTCAATTCCAGATGCCTAGCAGATCTTATACAGTTACAATTTGCATTCTCTACAATGGATATTTCTCCTGTGTGCATGCAGCCAACTGTGTAAGTTGTCCCTGTGATTAAGGAATTAAGCACTATGCCATGAAGATATATGGGGGGGGTGAATGTATGGATCTTTTAGCTGAGGTATTGTATTTCTTTGTCCTTTACACAAAGCTAAAAGTTGAATGTTTAAAGTTGAAGTCATGTCTACCGATCCACCCATCTCAGAATTACTCCATGTATGTTATACTCGCTCACACCCACAAGGTACTATGACAAAGAAGAAACAGCCTTACATGTACCATGTGACTGTAAGGTTGTAGCTAAATTACAATTTCGTCACTTGGGAATTCGCTTCATGAGACCAAGTGATTATAGCATGGATTAAACACAGTATTGCACATCATTTGAGGTGCGGGACTGCAAGATAGCTAATTGCAGAAAGGGGGTGCATAATGGATCCAAGACTGCCACAGTGTAAGGGTCATTTAATGCCTAATCCTTTAATTTATTTCTTCCACACACCTGTATTAACAGTTACAGGACACGAGCTTGCAACAGATTTCTCAGTTTTGATGAACTTGCATCTAAGAAGTAATCAGAACTCAAATGCTCTCGGAATGAGTGGGCTATGAACCTCTGATAACAAATTTATCTTTAGCAGACCATAAAATTTCAGGGGCACAATATAATGTTTTGAAAGCTCGTTTTTATCTGTGGGCACAAAACAGAGAAGCCACATAGATCTGCAATACAATTTTTCTAGATTTGTGGGGCAAAAAGTGATCATTCCTAAAAAAAAAGAAACATGTCAACATTCTGCTGACAATACCATTTATAAATTGTTGGTAACTAAAGAGAAAGGGACATTTATGCACAAGGTGATATCAAACAGAAAATAATTACCAACAGAAACATTTTCAGAGAAACAGGGAAAAGCATAAGCTGGTGAAGTTTTCATGGTGGTAGGTAGGAAGACTACTGTCTCCTGGGACATGGCATCTTGTATTCTGGTATATCATTACCAATGTCTTGGAGGAATTTGTTGACCCCACCTTCAGGGCAGAAAACTGCCTGTTGGGGGGTGATACACAATATTGCTATGGAAGTTGAGAAAGCCCAAAAGGAGCACTGAAGGTGATGGTGTGGGAGCCTACCACAACACATCTCCAGGCCAGCTATCAACTTCTGGTCAGGCAGCAGAGTGAAGTAAGTGCTAGCCAATCAGTGTGGACCACAGCAGTGCCCATTCAATCGGGTGCCAAACCTCCAAAAGTCCTTTGAAGAGTGCAAGGTGAGTTTGTCATGTGCCACTCTACTGGTGCATCCTGATCCATGCATGCCACCTGCACTCGTAACAGACACCTCCACGTATGCTATGGGTACACTGCAGCAACATGTCAACAACACCTGGCAGCCCTTCTCCTCCTTCTCCAAGAAACGCAACATGGCTCAGCAGAAATACAGCGCATATGACCATGAGCTGCTGGCCATCTATGAGGCCGTAAAGCATTTCCGCCACATGCTGGAACTGTGCAATTTCATCAACTTCACCAACCACAAGCCAATTATCTATGCCTTCCAGCAGAAGAGGGGCAAATGCTCACCAAGGCAATTTAATCATCTCGACTTTGTAGCCAAATTTATGACTTACATATGACAGATCTCTGGACAGGACAATGTTACTGATGCTCTCTCTCTCGTTGAGTCCATCACTGCGCCACCACCCTACAATGCACTGGCCATACTGCAGGGCAGCGATGATGAACTCCAAACACACCTGGAGTCAACCACCACCCTGTGGCTCAAGAAACTGCCAATTCCTGGCCCCACAGTCCCCAGCTACTGTGACACGTCTGTTGGGAGATCTTGGCCATATGTTCCAGCTCCCCTGCTGCTCCAAGTGTTTCAGTCTGTCCATGATCTGTCACACCCAAGCATCAAAGCACTGGTGAAGCTGGCCACACAGTGTTTTATTGGCCAGGTGTGCAGAAGGATTGCCGTACCTGGGTATGGGCTTGCAGTCCTGCTAGCGCTCCAAAATATCGTGCACAGTTACTCCATTGGGAAATTTTATGTCGCTGGCAGCCCATTTTCTTCACATCCGTGTACTCTTCATCTGGGCTCCTTCTGACATCAGAAGGCTACACATATGGACATCATAGGCGAAAATGTGGCAAGTGCCCTACTGACTGGCTGGATATCCCACTTCGGTTGTCCGCAGACCATAACCAACGACCAGGGATGTCAGTTTGAATCTCAACTCTTCCACTTCCTGGCCAAGCTGTGTGGCATTCAGCTCTCATGGACAACTGCCCACAACCCCACGGCTAATGGATTTGTGGAATGTTTCCACCAGGCGCTGAAGGCTCCAATGAAGCTGTGACAGGCCCAGTGAACTGACAGTAATACTTATAAAACAACAAAAAAGATTTGGAAACAAGGATAAGTACATGTTCTAACCATATGGGAAAACATGGAAAAAGGACATACATAACACTATCAGAAAGGATCATATTTTGACTTGAAACCCTCCATTTAGAATTATGAATTTTAGAACTGAACGTAGAACCAGAAATCTGATGGGTTCATATGTAGACAACAAAGGGTTGTGCATGCTTAATATATGCATTTTTAAGAACCCAGACAGAAGCCAAAATTTCCCAGTTCTATGGCCCATACTGGTGTGCAAGGCAGAAAACTGCTGTCTTCTGGGCTCCTAACAGTAGCTTGGAAAGACATTTTTGTCACTCTGACCATGGTGCTTTACAAAGTAAAACACCCAAGGAGGTCTGATGCAGTAGTGAAGAGGAGGAACAAGGAGTGTCTGGGGATAATGTTGAGTCTACCATCTGAGCCTGTGGCCACTTATAGCACCTGTGTGCTGCTCACCAAGTAAGGGAGCCATAAATGATGTATGGCTGGTACAGGAAGTATGACAGGGTTTCTGATTATGAACTACAAAGAATGTAAAAATGGTAAAGCTGTCCCTATGCTTAACTAATTAAGCACTACACCATGAAGGCGTATGGGGCAGTGGATGTTAACATCCACATATTCTTGATTTTGTGATGAAATTCACGCCCCTGTAACAGGTTAGAAAGGCCACATGACAGCGTCAAGGACTGTACACATATTTAAAATTAAAACACAACGTAGAACAAAAGAACAACAAACTTTTAATTTTCATACCTTATTCCAGATCCATATAATTCTGTGAAAAAATAATTACTTAAAATGACCTGAAGAAAGTTTAAGCATACTGTAAGTCAGCAGCAAGTAACACTCTCTGTTGGCCATGTTGGTGTGAGTGGATGTCACCAGTGACAGTTTTCATCCCCTGGTTTCAGCACTATACCTGGTATCATCAATGGGATTATGAGAGGTTAACTTTATCCCTTGTTAACCTTGAGCCTAAAAGTCATACAGAAGTTTGGAGGTTCATTTCTTCCCCGACAGCTGTGGATACTATATGGCATGACAGTGGTCAGACATGGGAACCAACTACAGTCATTATAGGTAGCCGAGTGCTCAATTTTAATTAAAGTGATGTTAATGTTAATCCACATTGTGCTAGCATGGGAAGTACATACCAAGTATAACACCAATACAAGGAAGCTCACAAGATATAATTAATGACCACAAGTATCACACAATTTTATATCGATGAACACGTGTATGTTAGCACTACACATAAAGACCCCTGACAATAGCTTCCATATACATTTATACATCATACCCCTGGGCGCTATGACCGTTCACATGTGGACGCTTAAGAATATGGATCCACGAACTATATAATGATGTAGCTTAACACTACATTGGCCACTATAACTTTGAAACTTGGCATACATGATTTTTAATAACAAAGTCAGTATACTGTCAATATATTTTTAATATATCCTTGATTTCTTATATATTTAATTTCTATACTTATATTTAAGTCGAGGCAGAAATTCTGTATCATAGAATATGACATGTTGTACCAATATGGATCTATATTAGGAGTTCAATGACCCTAGAAGTATTCTTATGTCACTGCCTGATGATGATCCTATGAGACCGAAAAAATGTAGCAGGAAATAAATATTCAATTGTGTGTGTGTCTGTGTCTATATATATATATAAAGGATTGATTACAAATCACTTTGTTGTGGCGATCGCTAACCTATGTGGAAAAATAAAAATGATTTAATGATCTTACAGCAGGCTTAATCCTGCAATCACCTGTATTATGTATTCAGCCCTATATTATTTTTGCTAGATGTGAGCATGTACCATGCACCACAGGTCATTGCACTAACACCGCTCTTTTCCAATCCACCTTTGTTATATGAGCTCAGTCGGAATGGTGCTATCCCTGCTACACCTGTTTCTACCTGAGGAGAGTGTATGATGATCACTGCAAGTTGTCCTCACAGATCGGTATAGGTACAGGAAACCGGCTGGGTCGGTTAGCATGAGACTCAGGGTAGCGATATTCTGGGAGTTGATCCAACTTGATATTTATTCACTTACTGTTCTCCAAACCACACTCCAAACATTTATTGTACGTTAATGTTTACAAATACAATATATTACTTGATCTGCAAACTATGTCTCAGAGTGTGCAAGGGTCACGTCCGTACACTACGGAATATGGTGAAAGACTTTTTGTGGAATGGCTTACACACCCCTTGCTGGGAATTCGAAAAATTTGAATTCTCCATGGTGCGGACATATACGTGTCATTCCATCCCCCGCAGGGAAGTCTGAACGAGGCAACTCATAATGGCCCTAATTTACAGGCAACTGTAACGAGTTCTGACCTGTCCTTTTCACTGACTTTTGTAGGCGTGTCCAGTTTCCTGTACCCGAGCTAAATTAATGACTGCTCGTAAATGTCAGAACTCCAGACTCCTTGGCCCTGCCAGAATCTAGAAATTTTAACATAAAGACCGTATTACATGTCCCAGACAATGAAATATGATATTGTAGATCACAATAAAGTTCCAGTAATATCAAAATATATGATTTTGAAATTAAAAATTACCGAGAATAAATTAGAAATAAAGTTCATGGTCATTTATAATAATCCAAATAAATAAGGGCTAAGACTGATCAGCGTCAGTACTTGCTTATTCCAAGAGTCGACGCAAAAAACATTCCAACTTATATTATCATCTGTCCTTCCTGTTGTACTTAGGAATGGTCACACCATGTTTAATTATGGTAATTTTTCGTTATCACTGTTGCTACAGATGTTTTCATAAATCCTTCCCATGTATCTTTAAATGACAGAAATGCAAAACTATAGCGTTTAAACATAAAATATTAAATTATATTCATTCATCTAGAAAAAGCTTGCATTTTTCTTCAAGTAGATCAAGGATTAAGCAGAAAGGATCACAAGGTGACTGCAGGGAAGCTACCCAAGTAGTGTCCTTAACTGCAAGTGCAAAACATAACTGGTCCTTCTGTTATGTGTTGAGCGCATAGTAACACTGTGCAACAAAGATTTTAATATAACAAATTTATATTATTGTCCATATGCCCTATTCATACTGTGTAATTGGGCCGCGCCATAGCTCAAGCGGTTAGTCGCTGGCTTCCCACCGCGGCGGCCCGGGTTCGATCCCGGGGTCTGGTCAAGTGGGATTTGTGGTGGACAAAGTGGCGCTGGGGCAGGTTTTCTCAGAGTACTTCAGTTTCCCCTGCCAATCTTCATTCCACCAATTGCTCCACAATCACCCTCACCTATCATCTGGGGCTGGTACAATGGGCCAGAAGTGGCCGCAGTACAAGGGACTTAGTCCCACCCCACTAGCAATAAAAAAAATACTGTGTAATTCTTAACATTTAATCCAATGGTGTTACAGAAATATGCATAAGCACAACACTACAATGCACAAATATTAGGTAACTCAGTGTAATAAATCTCGATGTTAGGAGGGCATGAGCTGTGTGTGAGCATTGCTCATGCCCAGGAGATTAATTACCTTGTACTACTGCACAAGGAAAGAAAAATCTACACAAATCATTTCTTAACATTTTCTTTTGTTAAGTGGGAAGTGTAACGTGTATTCAACCCTGTCTCATTCTTATGAGACAAGAGCATGTACCACACACCACAGGAGACACTACTTGCTTATTCCAAGCACTGGGCAGTATAAACTTCTTTATGCCACGTGAATACAGAATTCAAGGTTGCCCTCTTCTGAGTGAGAAATGTGTGTGTATGGACATAAAGACCCCTTTCTTAGAATTCCTATGACCATCTAATATTCCTTACAGCTGATTGGCATTATGCTTCTTTAAAGACAATTCAATTTTGAAGCTAGTTATGTCCCCCTGTAGGCACGTCTCTGTGTATGAAGTTTGGGTTTTGGGTCCCTTCAAAAACTCATGCCCTGTTGGCCACAGAGGACAGCACGCTAGAATTTTGACTCCTACAGTCCAGTCGATCTTCTTGTTGGATCATTTACATAGCTTTATATAGCTACACACACTTAATGTGTGTTATAGGACTTAAGTTAGCTTTGAGAATTACACGTGACATCTCCTGCTAGGCCACCTTCCACTACCTGCCTGTTCATATGGAAGCGGTGCACAGTGCATACATGTTGATCCATATAATAATTATAAGTGCTAATATTCTATTATAACCTTGTGCTTGTTCAGTTCATGCAAGACATATATCTGATTATCCTCACTGTTGACTTCTGAAGATGTGAATTACAATTCTTAAGGCTCCAAATGACCCCAAACAACAGACTATCTACTGAGTCTACATAAGAGTCCTATCACCACCTTCGGGATACAAAACACTGAAGACTATCAGCTTGGGACATCTGATCTGATGTGTCAGAACAGTGTGCAGAATGACATGGAAGGTGCATGCACTTATACGAAGGGGGACCCAAAAATAACCGGAAACGACATGTTGCGCACGCATGCTTTGTAGTTATGAGTTGTGCTGCTAGGTGGTGTTAGCTGAGGGTCTCCCGCGACTGTTAGTGAGCTGGCGTCAGTCTGAGTTAAGTGGTTTGTCTGTGGTGGCTCTGTTATGTGCGTTCCTGTTTGAACCCTTTGGCGATTAGTGAGATGGCCGACCAGAAGGAACAAAGAGTGTGCGTGAAATTTTGCTTTCTGTTAGGGAAAACTGCACTTCACTCTTCAAGTCGCGGCAAACATTCACGCGGTTTTCTCTTTGGTCATCTCCGAGCAAGCGAGGAACAAATTTTGCAGACACCCGTCTCATGTGCAAACCTTCGGTTAAAATTCGCTGGACCGTGCTCCATGAGATGTTCGTTTCCTCAGAAAGTTGGTCAATGGTCTTTTGACGATCTTCATCAATTGCACGTTTGATTTTGGCAATGTTTTCGTCATTTCTTCCTGTCGAAGGATGCCCGGGGCGTGGCATGTCTTCTGTTGACATGTTGCCAGATTTGAAATGGGAAAACCACTCGTAGACCTGTGATTTCCCCAAAGCATCATCATTAAAGGCTTGCCGAAGCATCCCAACAGTCTCGGCTGCAGTTTTCCCTAACAGAAAGCAAAATTTCACGCACACTCTTTGTTCCTTCTGGTCGGCCATCTCACTAATCGCCAAAGGGTTGAAACAGGAACGCACACAACAGAGCACCACAAACAAACCACTTAACTCAGACTGACGCCAGCTCACTAACAGTCACGGGAGACCCCCAGCTAACACCACCTAGCAGCACAACTCGTAACTACAAAGCATGCGCGCGCAACAGGTCGTTTCCGGTTATTTTTGGGTCCCCCCTTGTATGTTATTCACCACTTGAGGTATGCAGGATGCATAAAGGCACATCAATATATGGACATTAAACACTTCAATGCCAGTCACACTCCAAGATGGCCTATTTTCTTGAATTCAGCTATGTGTAAGCTAACGTTATGTAATACTTGTCTAGCATCCAATTCTAACCCTGTCACAGGATTCCCAACACTGACACCCAGTTCTCGACCACATTCTCTAATAAAATACTCTAAATCTGCCTCATCATTTCCACTGTCTCCACCACTAAGACACTTGTTTGTTAACTGTGCCAGGCGAGCTCTCTCAGAGCTGAAGGCTTCATCCAGATCAAATAACTCCAAGCTGGGTGGTGGCAGCTCACGAAAAGAAGGAGGAAATACCTGCAAAAACAATAAGAAACTAATGAGAAAAAGGGTTTTTGAACAATTTACAGTTCAGATGAGAAAGACAATAAACATAAATTTTGCCCATATTACAGTATTCATAGAAAAAGTAAAGCTATTCCTGTAACAGGCCATGAAGGTCATAGAGTTGTGAGATGTCGAGGCGCCCACATTTTCCAGACAACCAGCTCACAGATGGCAGTAAGGTTGTCAACCTTACATGCTGGCCGCCCTTTAGCCCCCAGGAAGATTCCTGGTACTCATTTCTGTTAGAGGCTGAGTCGACCCCAGGGCCATAGTGCAGCTGAAAGGATTAGGTAAATTTAAAAAATCCAGAGACCTCATTTGGAATTAAACCCGCAACCTTCCGGCTTGTAGCATAATGTCTCAACTAAATATGATATTGTGATCCCCAGTATTCATAAACTGTGACTTGTAGAACCATTGCCAAGTAACAGCTGTGTAAACAGCTGACATATAAGAGCTGTTGCTAGGGAACAGCTTTATGGATATGTTTCCCTGGCAACGAGAGAACATGCAATAATGGAAGAGATGTTTCCTGTGTTGTCCATGCCAGAATTATACAAAGAGGGATAATAGTTTAGTTGTTGACAAGCTGGTTAAGAATTGCAGTTGAGAAAAGTTGGAACCTGGTAGCTGAGGCTGTGGACAATTTTAGAACTAAGAGAAAGGGGACTGTCTGCTGTTGGAAGCTTCTACCAAGCAACAACTAGTGAAGACTGTGAAGACTTTATGTGTGCTGTAGTTACAGTAATCTTTGGAGTGTGTAATTCAGTGAGACTGGCATACTTATTTGTAGTTACGAGTGTAAGTGTCCAATAAATCTAAACCTCATCTCTAGTCACACTTACCATGTGACAAAACACTATTCATAAACTGTGCCCATATCATCCTTGACTTAATCATAATTATATTCATCGAAGATTACAAGTTATGAAGCTTCTCATTATGAAATTTTCTCCCTCATATTACTTCATCCCTCTTGGATCCAAATATTCTCCTCAGCACCCTGTTCTCAAATGCTTTTTGTCTGTTTTCTTCCCTTAATGCCAGAGACAAAGTTTCACACCCAAAGAAAATTACAGGAAAAATTATAGTATTGTATACATTAACTGTTGTGTCTCTAGACAGGAGACAAGGCACAGGTTCTGAACAATGGTAGCAAGCATTAACTGAATTCAATCTGCCTTTAATTTCCTCCTGAATCAAACTGTGATTCACTACTGTTGTTCCAAAGTATCTGAACTGTGCCACATTTTCAAAGGATCTGTTAGCTACCCTCATATAATGATTTTGCTCTGCATTCAGGTAACAGGACATCAATATATGCGTTTACTTCTAGATCAACCTACTTACTGATATTAAATAGAGTTTATATGTTTTTATTTGTAGTATCTGTATTATGTCTCAATAGAATTACATCATTAACATAAACCAGCAGCTGATGTGTCCCATTTAATTTCAGTCCCACCTCATCTTCCTGAACCTTCCTAATGCCATATTCTAAGGCAAAGTTGAAAAGCAGTGATGATAAAGCATATCCTTGTTTTAGACCATTTTGGACAGGAAAATTATCAGACAAATGTTTACTTATATGGACTTTACTATAGGTTTCATTTAAACACATTTAATCAGCCTAATTTCATGGGTACCCCAAACTCTATGAGAATATTGTTTAATACTTCCCTCCTAACTGAATCACAGGCTTTCTTAAAGTCTTTGAATAGTTGATGTACTGTCTCATTGTAGTCCCACATTTTCTCAAGTATATGATAAAAGAAAAACGGTAAAGCTATCCCTGTACCAGGCTGTGGAAGCCCATAGGGTTGTGAGATGTTGAGGCTCCCACATTTTCTAGCCAATCGGCTCAAAGATGGCAGTGAGTTTTTCAGCCTTACATGTTAGCCATCCTTTACTCCCCCAGGAAGATTAGTGGTACTCATTTCTGTTAGAGGCTGAGTTGATCTCAGGGCCATAGTGCAGCTGGAAGGATTAGGTCAACTGAAAAATCCCGTAACCTCATTGGGAATTGAACCCACAACTTTCTAGCTTGTAGCACAGTGCTTCAACCAACAACACTACCCTTCCAGTACATGATGAATACAAAAAATCTGATCAGTAGTTGATCTGTTACATCAGAACTCACACTGATGATCCACAATAATTAACTGAGAAATAAACTATTACCGCTGCTTGCAGAGGTGGTAAAGGTGTCTCAAACTGTGGTGTGATGAGACGCAGGGGCTCATGCTTTACATTCAGCTCATGATAGGCTTGGATAGCTGCGGGAACACATCCCGTGTTGATGGAGAACAAACGCTGGTTAAACAGCTTTGGGTAATCTGTGGGAATCTCATCAGATGTTTCTTGAAGGCACACTCGCGGTTTTTCTGCCAGTCTGGCTGTATCAGGTACCATGATATAATCTGAGATCTGTGAAGAAACATTTACTTACTTTATTTAAATAATGTTCATACAAAGATGAGTAGAATGTTAAATCAACAAACAAGCTGAAATGGCAGGTGCAAATCACAGAAAAATATTTACCCTGAAAACAAATTTGATTCATTTACATATTCTCTTCACTGAATGCAGCTGAATAAAATCACCATAAGTTTCTGGCGCAGATATAGGTCTGCCTTCATTGCCTTGCTGCATGAAATAAAAATGGAATCCAGTAATAAATTTCCTAGCATGCAGGTTAGTCACTTGTTCACGCTCGGTCATGTCATCCTCATCAATTTCCTGATCTTCTAATGTCTTCTGATGTTTTGTCACAATCTGTTGAACGACTGCTTCCACACAACGTTCATTATAATGTTGTGGACTATTGTTGATGCATGATAACTCTTGGTAATTTCCAATGTGGTGCATTTCCAATATGATGCCATTTTCACTATCAGCCTCATTTGGCACCTGAAGCCTGAGTGTTTTAAAACCATAGTGAACAAAGCAGTTCTGAACGTTCTTGGTGCTTACTATTCACCAACTATCGACAATATACTGCAATGCTTGTAAGATCAATCCTTGGACTGACATCCTTAGCTGTTGAAGATCATGTCAGTGGATTTTCTTGAATTACTTCAAGGATGTAGTTCACCAACTTTGTGTGATATGAGGTCTTCATTTCTTTTTATGATTCCCATGTTCTTTGATTGTACCAAGGATGTGGTGCTGTGAGACAGAAATTCCAGTTGGATATTTTTTAAAGCATCTAAATGAGGGTGGGCTGCACAGTTGTCAAGAACCAGTAAAATTTTCCTTGATTTCCATCACAATTCCACATTCAAACTCATTAGCTATTTCTTAAAAGTTTCAGATGCCATCCATGCATTTTTATTAGCATAGTACAGAACTGGTAAACTGTCCATACAAATCCCTTTAGAGCACCGAGGCTTAACCTTTCTTCCAATAACCAACAGCTTCCGTTTATCAGTCCCTAACATGTTTGAACAGCACAATACAGTTACATGATTCACTGCTCTTTTTAACCAGACAGAGTTGCATGTTTGTAGGTTAGGGAACAATTCAGTGTAGCATGATAAAACAAGCCTGTTTCATCAGCACTATAGATATCATCTGCACAAAATTTTTGAACAAAGTTTGGCAGCCTTGTGTATTTAAACTGCTTAGCACTAACAGCATCAGCACAGTCCTTCTTGCCATGTGCCTTCTTGAATTTTATCCAAAACCTGCATTTCCATTGAGATAACCAACCATCCGTTGCTCTGAAATTGTTATGACTCAGATTTTTAGCTAACTCCTATGATTTTCTTTTCGTCATCCAGTTACGATACAAAACCACTTACTGAAGGCCTCTTCAACATCTGGATCCTTACCTTGACACTTCTGTTTTTTGGAAGTGCCCTGTCGTTTGTGGCATAATCTCCAGTCATCTCACTGTATAACACATGCAACTGTAGACTTCAGCACCCCAACTATCTCTACCAGTTGGCAATGTGTTAGGTGGATGGTTTAAATTTTTTCAAGTAAGGCAATTCTCTGCTAGGCATTTTTGTAGGGATCTTTTATTTTCATTATTACTATTCTTAGTGGAGTAAGACTGAGTCCACTTGGTACTGCGGCCACTACTGGCCTACCGTACCAGCCCCAGATGATAGACGATGGTGACTGTGGAGCAATCGGTGGAATGAAGACTGGCAGGGGAAACCAAAGTACTTTGAGAAAACCTGCTCTAGCGCCACTTTGTCTACCACAAATCCCACATGACCAGACCCAGGCACAAACCCAGGCTGCTGCAGTGATCTTAGATTTTAAATAAAAAAAAATTGCTGCACATGCCACAGCAGACTCACAAATGTAGTCACTGCAAGACTGAGAGCAACGCTAGCTAAGTGTTCATTTGTACTGAGTCAGTGACTCACTGATGATGTAGTAATCACAAGTGAGTCATGTGGCAGCTACAGGCCCAGTTAGATGGCATAGTGTCCCAAATAAGCCAAGCAGATTCTGCTTATATTCTCTGTTTCATTTTGTTCTCCAGGATTTGTCCCAAGTAAATGGCACCACCAATTAACTGGAATCCACTGTATATATTACAAAANATAAACAAAGTTATTTCCATCCATTTATCATAAAAATTGAGCTAGACAGAGCATTTTTAAACACAACGCTTAAAATTGATCNATATATGCAGTGTGTTTGCTCTGATTTTTTTCTTTAATGAGAATTTTTTCTCCTAATATCTTTTGTTCATACCGTGACCACCAATTATGAATGATCTAAACATGTTATGCAACAATTTAAGTAATATCTTTAAGCATTATGATACCAATGACGGTATCTGTCATAGTGTCTTAAAATTCTGTCTTATTGTGACAAAGTCTGGAGAAAGCTTAATCAGTTCTTATCTGAGGGAGGGAGGAGACATATTTTGGTCTTTCCTGGATGGCTTGCTCTAATCCTGTGCACAAAACAGACATAATAAAATACATAAATAGAGGGAGAGGAGCACAGCATTGCAGAACACTCATCTGTGTTTACCTCAGGATGGGGCCGTACCATAGCTCAAGTAGTTAGTCACTGGCTTCCCACCATGGCAGCCTGGGTTCGATCCTGGGTCTGGTCAAGTGGGATTTGTGGTGGATAAAGTGGCGCTGGGGCGGGTTTTCTCCGAGTACTTCGGTTTCCCCTGCCAATCTTCATTCCACCAAAGTCTTCATCATCATAATCACCCGGGGCAGGTACAATAGGCCAATTAGTGGCTGCTGTGCCGAGTGGACCCAGCTGGACTCCACCCCCCACTAAGTGAATTAAATTACCTCAGGATCATCTGCATCTATCTGATTCAGTATGATATCGGACGTTGTGAGGAACCGGAACAGAACATCCCTCACTTTGTCATTATCTTCCTTGTCAATGTACTTATCAGCAAACATATGAACTGAGCCCAGTACTGCCAGTTTACCACCAGGAGACCCGGAGGTGGTTTTTGTGTGAGTATAAAGAGCACAGACTGGACGATTCAGTGGGAATGCTACACTGCCTGTAGATAACACTGCCACGGCTGGTTGAGCGACATTCAATGTAGCTCCATATGGATACACAAACCTCAGGGCTCTGAAAAAAACATGTACCTCCTCAGAGACAGAGATAAATGTGCAGAATGTTAGCAAATTTTCAAACCTGAACATGGATACAGTACATTCTTCCGAAACACTGGTAAATTTCTACCTGACTACATGACATTACATCCCAAAGAACAGTCACTGACATGAGAACCTCAAATTTCACCCTAATATTCTTGTTCTTATTGTCTGTTTCAGTCTCATTACCTTTGTATTCCAGATATCCCCTCCTGCTTTCCTATAAATGTCTTACATTGTTCAATGGTTCATCTGTTCTGCATTTCAGTTTGTCTAACATGATTAACTACAATACATGAACATTCAATAGCTGATATAAGTAACTGCTCCAACTATTAAAATATTGTGGGGGAGAGGCATCACTTCTGAAAGCCTACTGCAGCAATCTGACAGATGACACTGCCCTGTGAAAACGCATTGTTTTTACATGAGCGCTTTTTGAAATTCGTGTTTTGTTTTGTCTGCGATGGATGGCAAAATTGAGCAATGTGTCTGCATCAAGTTTTGTCTAAAGCTCGGTAAAACCGCTACCGAAACCCTCAAAATGCTTTGTGAGGTTTTTGGAGAACATTCTTTAAGTAGGGTAGTGGTTTTCGAATGGCACTCACATTTCAAGATCAGATGAGTAACAGTTGAAGATGAACATTCAGGGCAACCAAGCACCAGCAAAACAAAGAAAATGTTGAAAAAATTTTAAAACTCATCCATGAAGACTGTTGCTAAACAATCCATGAACTCGCAGACACCATTGGGATCAGTTATGAGTTTGCTAGGAGATTTTAGCAGAAAATCTGAACATGTGATGCAGTGTTCCTTCATCATGACAACACACCTGCCCACACATCCCTAAAAACCATAGAGTTTGTGACTAACAACAACATGACTATCGTTCCCCATCCTCCCTACTTGTTGGACTTGGCCCTTTGTGATTTTTCTTTGTTTCACAAATTGAAAATGAAACTGAAGGGACGACATTTTGAAACAGTGTCTGACATCCAAAATGAACTGCAAGCAGTGCTCGACAGCATTAAGGAAAATGACTTCCATGGTGCTTCTGAAGCATGGAAAAAATGATGGGATCGCTGTATACATTCCAAAGGAGACTGCTGCCAAAATTGAGTAAGTTCTTTCTTGACCTAGTCTGGGAAGTTTCCGATACACCTCGAATGGCACTGGATGTTAGGGCAACTGATGCATAACAAATTGAAAAGGATTTGGAAGGTAGCTGTCATTGCTTAACTAAGGTACTATCTTGGTATTTGCCTGGAGGGACTCAAGAAAACCATGAAAGCCTCAGTCACCATAGCTCGTAATCTCGCTGAGATTTTATGCAAGCACCTCCAAATATGGCTCTAGAGTGTTACTGCTAGACTAATCTGCTCAGTTAAAAAAATTCTTGTATGAATATGCAATTACACATCACTTCTGTCTTATATCAACTCTACAATTACTGTCTTCTGGGCCATAATGCTGTGTAGTGTGGAGGAATCTGAGGCCTCCAGCTTCTATCTTGTGGATGGAGGCAGCAGGTTCCTCCAAAACACTAGAACCTGTCTACCAAACTATATAATGTTACATCTCAAAAGACAGCAGGCTTCATGTCACTATTCTGAAAACATCAGATTTCACTTACATGAACTGTGATCTAGATTTGTAGGCCTTATACTCAAGTCTCTAATATACACAAACCTGGTTTCAATTTTAGTTCCCATAAATATTAATCCCCAAAATGAATTTGAATCACCTACCTCTATCTCTGCCCTAAAACATTTCTAGATTTGGATATAACCCCTTTTTTTCTGTTTACATGACATGCTATCTTATAAGAGTTCAGTGTCCACACTAGGGTAATGGTGGTTCTAGGTCAGATCCAAAAGGGTGAATAACAGTTTAATGAACTCACTGGCTGCTATTGTGGTCATACTGGTTACTTCCAAGAAATTTTCCAGATGCTGATGCGATTGCTCTATTCAGGATTCCGTTGGCAACCAAACATTCTTTTGGATGAAAATATTTGTAGTAATGAGTTCGTACCACACAGTCTGGGGGGGAAAAACAAACGAGTTTGTACCACACAGTCTGG